GAATAGTGCTATGTATAAACCTGATATATATCCTAAGTCGCGCTTTCGAGACACGAAGAACGCAGTTTGAATTTCGTCAATCGGCCCAGTAGAACGGGAGATATAGAACTTTCCCCCCTTTTTTTCCCCGCACTGTACAAGACGCAAAATTCCAAAATAAGTATGCGTAAAAATATACAAGTTCCTATATCTGAGACAGAATAAATAAAATAAGTCCATACTGGTGGAAATCCTGCACAAGCAGTGCAGTAAGTCAGAGGCAAAAAATACACAGAAAAATACACTACTACAAATTTAAGAATAGATGCAAAATTTGTCCAAATACTGTACAAGTAGAAAACAGCCAATTTCAGTAGAACAGGGGGAATGTAATTTACGACAGACAATAAACAGAGTTAATAAAGCACTGTAACCAACTAGTAATTTTGGATTCTAAGCTGGTGAGCTGCAAAAGGCCTGATAAGAAGATCCTCCATAAGAATGTCATAATTAAGGTGCTCTTAGAAATTCGCTACATTGCAGGCTGCAGATTTACTGAAAAATGCATCGTTCAGTTTGTTAAAGTAATCTTGAATGTATCCAGTTTTTAAGTCTGTGTGCAAAGAATTGTTTCTGACAAAGTACGGGGCTCCAAGAATGATGCGTAGAAATTTATTTTGAATAACTTGAAGATGTTTGATGTCATTAGCTGTGGCATGGGCTCAGGCGGGAGAAGTGTAGGAAAAAATAGGACGAATGATGGACGTGTAAATTCTTATTTTTCTTTGTAGACTGAATCTTATGGTGCTCGAAAGGAGGGAATTAAGCTTGAACATGATTTGTAGTATTTTTCCCTTAATGTTCCTGATATAGTTTGACCATGTGAAAGTAGAGTTTAGTATAACACCCAGATATTTAGCAGTGCGCACCAACGGGATGTCGGTATTGAAGAGAGTGATCCGGGAGGTCATGGAGTCACATTTTTTTAATTTCCTGATGAGAAGCACTTCGTATTTGGCTGGATTTATGCTAATCTTCCACTTACCATTTTCAATGGAGGGGATCTTGTTCTTAATGTGCAGGACAAATGTCCCAAGATCTCTTTTTAAAGAAACTTCACCACTCTAAAACTCCAATCTGTCTGACTTCAACACCCTTGCAAGTTCTGAAGAAAACTCTGTTTCTTCACCTACTAAAAACCATAGGCCGAAAAACTGCACATAAAATTAACCCTAAACAGCCCGAGAACTTCTCTTTTTATTTTGCTGAAAAACTCCCATCCCCCTCCAAACGAATCGAAAAGAGATGTTGCACAAAGACCTGTTGACCAGCTGGAAACAGTGAGTCACCCAAAAGCGTGAAAAACCAAAATTCGACCGATACCAATAATGAATTATTGCTGAATTATCTTGCGAAGAGCGATGTTACTAGTTCAGTTAAAATTACTGCCACAAATGGCACTTGATTTTGGCCTATCTATAGCAATGAAGAACCGCGAGAGCGGAGAAGTGGTGGCAAAGGAGAAGGGAGTAACCATGAGCTACCATGAAGAGTACACTTTGTGGCGGTGTCAGCAGTGGCGGGAGCATCCAGAGAGAACACAGTAGTCACATGATTTTAGAGTCCAATTCAGTGAGACATAATGGAGGCAGGTTCATTGGCTGGAGCAGGATCCTAAGTACTTGAGTTTCAGGGCAGCCAAGTGGCAAGTGGAAATGATATATTGCATAGAGACTTGAAAAGGGACCTAATTGAGGCATGTTTGCAGAAAGTAAATAGAAATTTCTTTACGAAGGCAATTCAACTGCATTCACCTGCAGAAATTTAATGCCTTCGATTATGTCGTTCTGAACGAGGACTGCGACAAGTGACCACTAGCGGCCTACCTCGTTAAAGACTCCAATTTTCCGACTTAACACATAGTGCGATATCTTATCATTGTATATTTGTATATAGCTGTACATATGTTTATTTAGCATTTTAGATTTCTGTTTGTATACCTAAATTAATTGTTTTCTGCATCATGTTTCTTTTCCATTGTGATTGAAGAATAAAATGACATCTTCCAATTTCATGAATCGGCCCAGTAGAACGGAAGACATAGGACTGTCCCTTTTTTTTTTTTTTTTTTTTTTTTTTTTTTTTTTTAGCAGTGTACTTATGTATGCATGTATGTTTGTTTGTTCCTCACATTGTGGAAGGATGGCGGAACATAGAGGAGTCATTAGATTTTGAACACCCATAGCCCTCCACCTTAAAATATGCAGCTTGAAGCCTAAAATTTTGAATTTATATTTTATATTTTGTGTGAATCTAAGAAATTTTGATTGAAAACTCAATGATATGAAAGTGCTGTGTTGCCAATCAGCAAAGCGTAAAATATTTTTACCTCAAATTTAATCAGAAAAGTCACCGTTGTAAAAGATATGTGTTGCCACTCAACAAAATGCAAGGTATTTGTCTTTCAAGTTTAACAGAAGAAATCAATGATTTAAAAGAAGTGTGTTGCTACTGTCCAGTATGAAATATTTTTATCTTTCATGTATCAGTGTGTTACCATTTGGCGAAGCATAAGATATTTAATTCTTTCAAATTTATTCTGTTGTTAATTAACAAACTAAGCAATTTAAAAAGATAAATTTGAATTTATTTCAATTATTGTTAATTACTAGCTGGACTTCTAAAATTGCATTAGTTAGACCCATTAAAATCATTATAATTTTTTCTTTTTGTGTTGCTCAAGTGACTAGTGTGAATAAAAAGGAAAATACATGACATAATTAAGATACACTAAATGCCAAACAAGTATTAATTTAGAAGTCAAACAACAAAAAGCAGTGTTATATAATTATTTTATGTCATGTAGTAATTTAAAAGTCAAACAACAAAAATCAGCATTATATTATCAAATTTCCACAGTGAAAATTTGAAAATATAATGCTGATTTTTGTTGTTTGCCTTCTAAATTGATACATAATATAAAATAATTAGAATTTATTGGAATAAATTACAAGGAAATTGCAGATGTGTGAATTTCGAAATAAAAACCAGTATCTCTCCATAGTAAACAAAAAAAAAAAAAAATACAGAGAGTCACATATTTCTCCTGATTTAAAATCCAAGTGATAGAAGCAGTATGAAAAAGAAAAATAAACACATTTAGCTATGAATCAAATTATATATATATATATATATATCCTTATGCCAGGAGGCATATGTGTGGTTTAATTAACTGCATTTCTGATGAGAAGTGCAAAATTTCATCATAAAGCAATTATTCTATGATGTATTCTGAATGCATTTATAATATATTTAATTTCTAATACAAAGGGGCCTTTGTCCCTGAAGGACTATTGTTTTCATTTTGCGATTTTGCGTTGGTTCACTATAAATGTCTGTTTCACTTTTCAAACTGTTGCCACCAAATGTTTGAGTCCTGCATTATATTTGAAGAAATTAAATAATGAAAAATCTGCATAAATGTATGTATATTTATCGCATTGTGATAAAAGAACGGTACATAGAGCCATCAAATTTTGAATGATGTAATTCTACTGAGAATATGGGCATGTGGAAACCCAAATTTGAAACTTGGTACTTGTTTTATTATTGATTTCATACTTTGTAAATCTTTAATGAATTTTTGATTAACAAACTCAAGGATTTCAAAGCAATCAATGGCAACGTTGTACAGAAAAAACATTTTTATCTCCAGTGCCTGAGACTGCATATAGGAAATTCTAAAATATGCTCAATTTAAAACAATTTTGTGATATTGCTCTTGAGCTGAATTTTATGGTTTAAGTGCGAAGAACGTGATATTTAATAAATAAAGGTAAGTGACAAAATGTTAAAAATATGTCCCTTTAGACGTAATTTAAAATCTGAAACCTTTCAGATTTTTTTTTATTATTATTATTATTATTATTTGTTGTTGTTATTGCCAAAATCTTCCTCATTCCTCACTTCCTCATTTAAATCTCAAAACTATTTCATGTAGTACATAAAACAATTTTGTTTCATCATCCTTTATGTCTTATTTTTAGTTGCAGTTGTAAAATTCTTTATGCTAAATTTATAGCATGTTCTCTTCTCTTTCCCATATTTAAGTCTAGAAAATGTTTTGTTAATGTCAGTTTATATTAAATGTCAAATTGAAATGAGTATGTTATAATACAGTAATACCCTCACTTATATAAACTCAAGTGTTTCCTCATTTTTTCCTCCTCCTGTTGCCTACACAATTTAATGTTTTAGATGCAATAAGATTCATTGGAGAATATTAAAATGAAATTTCTGAAAAAAAAAAAAAAAAAACTTTAATGTTGTATGGAAGAAAATTAGCCCATTCTCTTTCAAAAACAAGATGAAAGCATAGTAGAAGGTGCCAATTTTATCAGAGAGTTAAATTTGGAAGTTGATAGTGATAAGTCAACAAGCAACTTATAGAGATGCATGAGCTGGTTGCTACAGAAGAAGCCAACACCTCAAATTCACAGCCTATGACAATTGCAAGCTTTTCAGACATCTCAACTGAAAAAGAGTTACAAATTTTGAAGAACAAACACTATGATAAGGAACACTTACTAGGTACAAGACAAGAAATAAATATATAGCTTGCTATAAAAAATGTTATATTTTAGCAAGTGACATTAAATTGTCAGAGGATTCAATTAAATTTTATGAAGTTTTGTTTATTTTAATGTTGTTTTGAATTATGAGTGAAAACTATATGCTTTATTAAATACTTTACTTCTAAACAACTGTTGTTTTAATCCTTGGTGTTGTTTAACTAAAATCAATATGTACTTATTACAAAATTAGACATAAGTTAGTTATTTTAAATTTTGTGTGAATTTTAGAAAATTTTGATTGAAAACTCAGCAATATAAAAGTTTTAACTTGTACGAATGTGCTTTTTGTTGATCTCACCTTTGCATAACTTTAGGGTATTACAATATGGTGAAAGTTTGTTTTACTGTATTGGAAAGTTATAAATATAAATAATTTGATCTTTAAAGGTGCAGATTAATTCTAAAGTTGCAAGTGAATATGTTATTAGAACACAACCAACAGAAAAGGCTTTGTCTACTGTGGAAACTGCTGCTGTAGCTTTGTCTGTTTTAGAAGGGAAACCATATTTGAAAGATGTGAGTTATATTTTCAAGAGTATAAAATGATATGAGTGCAAAACAACAGAATTTTAACACAATATTTTTCTTTCCTGTGACTATATCCTTGTATTTAATTTTCAATAAAAATAGTTTTGTGAAAATATATTCAAACAGCATAAGTTTAGTTAATAATATTTATTTGTATGTGTAGCATTATCTCTGCATAAAGAAATGCTTTAATTATTATGGAATGATTGTCATTTTCTGCATAATTTGCTTTACTTATTTGTATGTAATTTAATGTTCTTATAATAAGTAGTGTATTACATTTGTAATTAAATCAAATTGCAATCCACAACATTAGGACCATTTTGCTGACTCTGGTAAATATAAGCACTGAGTAATGTATTACCTAATCTTATATGGTTATTATATGCTATTAAAAAATATGATATAGTTGGCCTTTATTTTCTCCTCATCAATCATGAAAACAGGGAGTAGCTACTGAAATCAAGTTTGCACATTCATCATTGGAATTTCTGTGCTATGAGAGAAGAGAGGCAGAAATGTGCAAATCAGAAAGCTAGGTAGCATAGTAAGATATATGGGGGTCAAGTTTATAATTTTCTAATGGTTCACATGAAATTATTTCTAATGATTCATATGAAAGTAGTTCAGCTAGTGTCTGAGCTGCTAAAGAATAATGAATACTCATAGTTTGTATCAGAGTCTAACCCAGGGGAACAAAACATCCTTTAAAAAAATGGGGAAATGTCTGATTTTAATGACACAAAGACATTCTTTAATGAATTATGTGATTTATTTAGGTATATTGAAGAAAATCTCAAAGATGCTGCTATTAAGTTAGATTCAAACAGAAATTTCATATTACAACAGTACGATACAAAATGTACAATACATAATGTAAGAATGTGTCTACTTTAAACTTGTTTCTTATATCCCATCCCAAGATATTATTTAATATAACAGAAAATTTGTGGCCTGCACTCTAAACTGCTGTATAGAACAAAATAATGGTTTTGTTTATTTGATTATGGCAAAACATATAAAGGCTATGTGTAGAGGAACGCGTTCACGGAGACTTTTCTGAGGGAAAGTGGCTCATGTCCACATTACACATTAAAGAAAAAAAAAATCACCTATGCAACTTGTTCATTCTCTTAGTATCAAATCCAGGTCAAACTACCAGTGTTCTGTGCTTAGCTACTTGAAGATAATGAGAAACAATAATTTGAAAATTTTTTCTAGGAAAACTAAGAAAAATATGCTCATTAACAAATCTGAACTTTGTGCAGTTCATGCCTTGATGCTTGAAGGCTGTTATAACAGACAAATATCATTAATTAAATTGTAACACTGCCATATATAGATTCAAAGTAAGGGAAAGGAATTTTCTATCCTAAATTGCTTTAATAAAAAATCTGTATTTGTTTTTTAAAATGTTTTATTTATTTCATATTTAAGTTGTTATTTTCAGCTTTCTTTCAGCTTTATATTTCAAATTTTTTTTAGATATATGAATTAGAAATCGGGCTGACTTAAAGTGGAATACATTTTTATTTCAAAAATGGTTATTTATTTAGAAATATTTTAATGTAGCTGGAACTTTTAGAATTTCTTTTCAAAAGAAAAATAGCTCTTAATAATCCATCTGCATTAAATTCCAGTTGTTGAATAACAAATGAGATATTTTTAGCTTGCATTATTTATCAAATATTAGATTTTTTTCTTGAGAATAAATTCATTCACTTTAATTTTTTATTTTGTATATTTCAGGTTTTGCTTCAACCATTAAAAGCTCTCTGTGGATTCCAGCTTGCACATGGAGCTATAACTCACCAAAGTAAAGAATTTTTAATTAAAAATGGATTGCATAAGTCACAGGCTAGATGTTTTTTACCACAGCGAGAATTTCTTTTATAAAAAAGAAAGTTTTGCAATTGAACTAAGCACACTTATGTACAATAAAATATTTTGTGATAAGATTTATGCTGTGCTGTTTTTAAACTTTATAAGAAATTGCCTTTTACTAATTGTAACTTGTGAGTAATCCTCATCAAGACTGTAAGCAAATTATTGCTGTGTAAAGATGAAAACAGAAACATAAAAAGGGTGTTAAAAACTCTTTTTAAAACTATGCAAATTGAACAGAAGGAACACCTGTTGCTTATAAATCAGCCAGTATTTATGGCAAGAACTCTGTGTAAAATTAAATATAGATAACTCCTAGCCAAAGGATAGATAGAGTAAATTAACTGCAAAAGTTGGCTCTTAAGCTAACACCTACATGGAAACACTATTGTCAAGAATAAAGCAATGCTGAAGACAGGATCTTTTGTCTTAGAATAGCAAACTAGTAACATGGCTTTCAGCAGGCAGAACATGCTCTGTCTAAGCAGTCTCAAACCCTTACTTAAATATGTGAACTAATTTACATTCTTTTTGGAAAATGGAAAGGGTGAAATGATAGTTAGATTTACCAAAATAAAATAACTGATAAATTAAAATAAACCTTAAAACTTTCTCGACCAGAATTTTAATCACAATGAAGGTTTTTAATGACCTTGTTAAGGTATAACATTAAAGCCTTTAAAAATGATGTTTCTGCATATTTCAAGAATTTGTTTAGGTTTTATTAGCAACCTGTCGGATGTACTTTCCAGTTTTTTCTTTAAGAAGTGATATTTCTGATTTATTCACAATATTATCCGAATTTATTAAAGAATCAGTTCAACCTGAAACTGATAGCAGATAATTATCTAAAACATAGTCATAGGTTGCATTTCTTTAAAATGAAAGTTTTAAATAGATTCTTTTCGCGACCAACAATTTATAACAACAAGAAAATAAATATTAATAAAATAAAACAGATTTATGTGAATTCAATGACTTCACTTTATGCGCGTGAATTGAATAATAATTAATACATAAAGAAAAGCATTGCTTTATTTTACACCTTTACAATTCATAAAAATAGTAACAATGGATTTCTTACTTTTTCATGAAAATTATAAAATGAATTACCTAAAACGTTCAAATTATACAGTTTAAATCCTGGCATATATCATTGTATGTTAGGGAACGAAGATATCAGCTATAAACAGAAAAATTAAAATGCTATAACATTAATTTAACATATTTTGATTGTTATTAAGTACTTTTTTTCACATCTGGAAAGAAAACACCACGACATTGTGATTTTTTAACATATTTATCAAATTATATAAGAAAAGAAAATCAATACTTACGAGTGAAAAGTAATCCCAGGAATCTATTTCGAAAATCGATTTGTGCATCCATATGCAACACAAGCTGACATGCTTCAAAATGAAAAGAAAAAATATATATATTACAATTAAAGATTTGCACAAGTCACAGAGATAACAGTAACATGGCCACTTGTGATTCAAAGCTTCACCGTTTGAGTTGAACCTTCCCTCCTTCTATTCTAACCTCCTTGAATCTAACTTAACCTTTTGTTACATGGGTTTAATATGTTGGATACCCTTAAGAAACTTTGAAGTAAGCAAATTACCATTTAAAGGCGTTAAATTCGATAAAAGTCGAGTGCGCCATCCGTGTAAGGGAGAAATTTGTCCGTTAAAACCACGAATTAGCGATTAGAAAATGTGAGATCGCAAATCACTCGCACAAGTGCATACAATCCGGAAATTGTTTTCTTACAGATCGCTAATTTGTAATTTTTGAAGCCTGAATTCGGCCCTAAAACACGAAGATACTGATTCAAAACGCTTTCAATGGATTTGGGCCAAAGAAATCCCTCATGTTATCTACCTAGTTCCATTGCATTCTCCTACTGCATTCGATTGCATATGGTGTGGAATGACAGCTAGTTTCATAACTGAACATTTTTCTCTGAATAGCAGTCGACAGCTGGACCACTGTGATTGCAGCTCGCTTAGAGTCAATGTTAAAATGTTTCATGATACATAAACGGCTGTAATGTGGCATTTTAGATACTACACATTCTTATACAGGGCTGGGCCCCAGCTCACATGTGTCCACACAGTTACTTAGGCAACATTTCACGAATGAACGTCTTATAGGCCTGACACTTTCCCTTCTTCCCAACCAGACCTCAACCTCTGTGACTTTTAGCTATGGGATTTATCTCAAAAGCTCTGTTTATGGTGATAATCTAAACAGTTTGGCAGAAATGAAATATGTGATACACTGACATGTCCGTAACATTCCTCCTGATATGCTAAGAGCTGCTGTTGAAAATGCAGTAACAGGATTTAACGTGCTTTCGGGAAATGCTGGATGCTACATTGAACATGCTTTGTAACATGTTTCGGAAAATATTAAACACATTTTAAACAGATGTTTTCGTGTCTTATTTCATTTAACAATCTTGTATACAGCTCCATTTTTTCCCTGGTGGTGAGTTTTGGAACTCTCCCCCCCCCCCCCCCCCGCGGAAAATAAATTCCCATAACCTCCTTTACACGATTCCTAAGTTTGATGACATTTGGTACAGTAGTTTTCCTTTTATGACCATTTCAAATTGGAACTTTAATTATAACCACCATGTAAATTAATTTTTCAAAATTTGACAGTTTGGTTCAAGTACCAGATTAAAAAATATATATATAAATATAAATTTTATATTAATCTTCTTAGAAAGAATGTTTTAAGAAGTTAATTTTTCTCTCGCGTTATAGATTGTATAAAAAAACATGATCTTTAATATGATTTAGGTTGTTTCAGCCGATATAAGAATCGGGTCACTGGGTGGTACAGAATAAACACTGCTGGACTGTTTTATTTCTTTGTCATTTAGCAAAAATCTTTTAATTAACATATTTATCCTCTAGACTTCGCTTTAAACTTTATTTATAGTTAAAATGACTAGAAAATGAAAAGCTGTCTTCAGCTGAAACGCAATTCACATAATTGATATTTTAAAATAATTGACAAGAATGCAAAATGAATGCAAAAATGGAAGTCTAGCAATTGAAAAATCTTAATTTTCTTGTGTGAGCACTGAAAATAACTGTAGAAGGAAAGAAGAAAATTAGGAAAAAAAGTAAAAAAAATTTGCAGGGAAATTTGGCTGTCAGACATACCAAGATGTCTCAAAAAGTTGGACTCATTTGAAGATACTTTCAGAATACTTCAAAGAATTTAGGTGTTCAAAGAGCTCTTGGACGTGTACACCAGCAAATACCATCAATTGAGCTTGTGTTAACAGAAAAGACAAAAACGATATCATTGCAGATTAAAGTGAAGAGCGATTGGTTTTAGACTATATGGTTGTATAAATTTAAATTACGTTATAAAACATCATATGGTATCATAAACGGAGAATCCCATGATTTCTCAGTCGAATTATTTAAAGATTCAGGAGTTTATCCAGTGATGTATGTGGATGTCACCTAAAAACAATTTTTTTCCTCCTGATGAAACAGAGGCCGAGCGGTAAAGTCGCTGAACACTGGTAATTCGGTCCGACGTTCGAATCCCGCAAACGGGCTGGCTGCATGGGCGTTTTCGTGGTTTTCCTCATATGTAACATGTATACGAGCCAGTTTCCCTTAGAAAGTCCTCCACAAAGGCATCCCTCCCCTTAAGCAGATAGCCCTAGCGTGCTTTGTCATAATTAAATAAACCAAAACCTCTTGATGAAACCAGTCTTTCCTTTCATCTCATACCTTCAAAATGCTTTGCCTCTAAAGACTGCTAAAGGCTCTGACCAAATACGGATGAAATGGATTGAATTGGATTATTAAGTTACGGCAAAGCAGGGCTATCTGCCTAAAAGGAAGGATGCCTTCGTGAAGAAATTTCTAAGGGAAACCAGCTGGCATACACGGTACACATGAGAAAATCCACGAAAACGTCCATGCAACCATCCCGTTTACCGGAATTCGAAACCCGGAGTGAACTACCAGTGTTAAGCGACTTTACCGCTCGGCCGTTTGTGGGCCTTTATGAAATGGTAGGCGATAACTTTATTTAAAATGATTTTCAGAAATACCAAGATGTTCCGAAAAGTTGGATGCTTTTTAATATACTTGCAAAATGCATAAAGAAAAAGAGCAAGAATAAAGCAGAATGCCTGAAGAAAATATAAATTTTTTCGTAAAATTTAGTATTTGTACTTTTTTTAATTTAAAACTTTTTAATCTTATGATATTTGATTCTTGCAATTTCAAAAATAAAATATTTGACTAAAATATGAATAACATTTAAGAAACCAAATGTAGGATAAAATTGTGTAAAGCAATGGGCACAATGATAAAACTGTTTAAAGCAGTGTATGCAAGTCATCTTAAGTTAAAATGCCTGTTATACATCTCTCTTATTTATATATTTGTATCATTTCTGAACAGAACATTAAAAGGCGTGTTAAGTGTGCTTTACTGCATTTTCTCTTTTAATATATGCAGTTTTCAAATGCATCCTAGTCTGGGTTACAAAGTATTCTTCCGAAAGAAACACTATTCAAATAAATAAAATCAAATTCTGGAAAATTTATATTAATAAATACAGTGTCTCAACAAAGTGATGGGACACTTGTGCTTTATAAAAGGAAACTGTAGTAAAATAAATTAAAAAAACATGTAAAAATTTTTTGTCTGTTTTATACTTAAATTTAGTAACAATTACAGTCAAAAGTCGTTAATTCGGACACCCATAATCCAGAATGATCTATAATCCGGACCTCAAAGCTAAAATCTTTCTGAGCATGCGCCGCGTTGATGCATGCTCATAGGCGTTTTACGCGTCCGCGCAAGACATTTACGACTGCGCATATGCGTCTGCGCAAGTGCAGAATACGTTTTCGCGTGCGCGTTTAATGTATAATGGACGGCATAAGCTAAAATTATCTATTTCAGTTAATGTTGATGATTGCGTTGTTCCTTAATCTTCGAATTGGATCCGCCTTATTATTTTTTGCAGACTGTAAGAGCAATTTTATAAAAGTAAGCTTGAACTTTCGATTATGTCAAATAGAATTTCCG